TTTTTTTTTTTCTGTTAAAGTTGAAAAAATTGAATATTTTAGAATTATTAAGTTTTCTTTTTTTTTCTTTTTTTTTTAAGTTTTAAATTTTCGGTTCTTCAAGTTTTACTTGACACAGTTATTTTTTTTAACTTATTTCTTTTAATTATTTTTACTTTCAGATAATTTAGTGTTTTATGATTTTTATATTCAATAATTTAAGTTTTTAGCTAATATCCTACTCAATTTTTTTTGTTTTTGTTTATATTTGTTGGTACTGTGAAAATTTTTGAAAAAAGTATAAAAAATTATTTTCTGATAAGAAATATTTAAAAATAAACCATAGAAATGGAATTAATGCTTGAAATTGGACATGTTTGTCAAATAATATTGTTATTGATAATAAAAATAGTTTTTTTTCTCATATTTATTAAAGAAAATAGAAAAAAAAGAGAAGAATTTATTTTCTGATTTAAACTTTTTTTCAGCAAGGTTTTATCTAGGGTTCATTAAAAATTTTAGTTATCGAATGAACATCGTACAAATTATAGTTTACTCTCGAGTCAGTCTCGAAGAGGTTATGTTACAATATAAGCATTTTTTATAAAAAGTTTAAAAATCCAAACTGATATTTATAAAACTGCATAAAACAATTTCATTCTAGCGTGGCTTGGGGTCAAATAATTTAATATGCTGATATAAGTTTTATACTTATAGTGATAAATCAAAAGCTAATTTTCAACAAATTGAGGTGTACCAGGTTGGCGATTTGTGAAGCCTGTTTATACTGAAAGTTTTTGTTTTTATTAGTTTTGAGGTATAAAGTTTTTGTTGATAACGAGTAAAAATTAATAAACGGGAGGGGGGAGGGGTCTTAATAAGCTTGGGGTGGGTGGGTAAATTTTCCTAAATAAAATTAAAAAATATTGCGAAAATCCATCGATGATGAAATTTTTCCAAGTAATAAATATTCATCGATGATGATTATTTATTACTTGGAAAAACTTAAACTTAACGTTAATTAAGCGAGATAAGACCGTTTTTCACAAGACAAACTTTTTCGTCATGACGAAATAGTGTGCCGTTTTGATTTCCATTCATTTTATTTTTTTTTTTTTTTGCGCTTCTTGTTTTTGTTATTAACAACAAGAATGACAACAACAAGTTTCCGCATGTTTGTTTAATAAAAAGCAGTCATTACTTTTTATGTATGTTTAATTAAAGTATTAGTATGTTTAATTAAAAGCAGTCATTACTTTTTTTGCATACTTTCTACTTTGAAACGTGAAAATTTATTTTCATGCATTAATTCTAATACTTTTGTCTTTGTATGTAAGATACGATATTATTTAAAATGATGTGATTCATTTTTTAATATAATAATTTAAAAGAAAGCTTTTTATAAGAAAGTATAAAAAAATAAACTGTAGACTGTGATAACAGGCGCAAAGCGTTCAGCTTTGCGCCTCTTATTACTTCCAATTATCAATTAATTCCAGTTATACTAAATTAGGATCGGAGTTAGGTTTGAAGGATAAGGTCTAATATGAATGAGAATATATAATAAGGTTATTCTTTTATCATAGTTTTATTCTCTTATCATAGGAGTGATAACTTTTATAAACATTAACTCATTTAAGAATTACGGTAAATTATAGTATCTGCGTTTGTTTTCCAGAGCAATAATTTTGAAAAGCAAGAGATATAAATTACAATGCTGCGTATGAAAAGCAATTTTTAATAACGACTATAAAACCAGTCACGAAAGATCCGTTTATGGTGGTAAAAAGAATCATATACAAACAGTGAGAGTCCCAGAAATTCTTTTGTAGCCTCCTTAGCTTCAAAAAATTGAACATCAGAATGCTGATAACGATGTCAAAGTGGATGATGAAATACAAAGTAGTGAAAATACAAAGTTAGAAAACATAATAATAATTGAAACATCAACTTCAAGATGTGGTATATCCATAGAGGAAGAAAAAACATTTTCTGAATCAAATTTTTTACCCCATTTTTCTGGCCGATAAATAAAGATGACACGATTATGGATACTACTGAGGTAAGCAGTGAAACAACAAATTGGCCTTCACTTATGGGGAATTTAGGTGTTTTAATTGACAATCTTAAAGATTGTAATGACATTTATTAAAAATATTGTAAAAAAGAATTAGTAGATGAAAAATTCGCTGCAATTAAAATTGTGAATAAGTTCTGTGTTAAAATTGTCAAAAAATGTTTTGGAAATGGGAAACCCTTTTATAAGAAAGCTCGATATCAAAGCTCAAAATATTATAATTGACAAATCAGATTCATCAGCATTGAGAAGGCATAACACAGGTTTACGCCCACCTACAATTACGGACAATCAAAAATCATAATTATTCTAATAAAGGCCACACCAATCAAAACTTGCTAGTTTCCCAAGTGACGGTAAAAATAGATTTAATCCCCAGTGGTACAAAGAGTTTGAGCATTTAGAAATAGTACCCAGAAGGATGCCACATTTTGTTTTGTTTGCTGTCTTTTCCCAAAGGGTGTTGGAAAGAAGGGAAAAACTGAAGAAGCTAGAATAAATGTTTAAGTAAGATTTTGGTCCAAGATGAAAAGCTTTGGGAGAGACAAACTTGGGAAACATCAGGCCAGGGCTGTTCCGAGGAGGGCGTAGAGGGTGTCTAGCCCCCCTACGAATTTTATTAGTCGGCATTTTGGATACTGGAGTGGGCAAAATGGGATTTATAGTTGGCAGTCGGAAAACAAGGACCTTTTTTTTTTTTATTTTTTTCTATAGATAAGTTAGTGGGCAAAAAAAAAATTTTTTGGCGTTAGTCGGCAAAAAACAGACACGTCACCCCCACCCAACCTTTAAAACCTTTTTGGGACGGCCTGCATCAGGTGCATTGTACCTCTTAAGCACATAAAGTTGCATTAAGTGAATATTGTCACTTTCTTATGAAAATAGAGACTTGCTCTGTTAAAAAAGCATAAAGTAGAGGTGCCGAATAGAAAAACTGTTGAAATTCTTATCGATACATCAAGACTTTTGGAAGTTAATATAATATAATATAAAAGAACTGTTTAGAATATCTAACGAAGAATTATTAAAAATAAATGACTGGATTACAAATAATAAACTTTCATTAAATGGTGAGAATACTAAATTTATCTTGTTCCACAGACCTCGTAGGGGAGATCTACGAAGTTTGTGGAACAAGATAAGGACCTTTCTCTAAAATTACCCAATCTCTTTATGAATAAAACAATTATTAAAAGAGAGTCAACTGTTAACTTTCTAGGAGTGATTATAGATGAAAATTTATCATGGAAATATCATATTAAATCTATTGAAAACAAAATCTCCAAAAATATTTCAATGTTATATAAAATTAAACCATTTCTTAATATTGAGTCTTTAAAAATTATATATTTTTCAATTATTCATAGTTATTTTTCTTATTGCAATATTGCATGGGGAAGTACTAATTATGGGAAACTTAAAAAAATCTATAGCAAACAAAAACATGCATGTAGGATTATATTTAGCGTTATCAGAACTGTTAATGGTGAATCTCTTCTAAGCGAACTTAATGCACTTAATGTTTATGAAATTAATATATACCAAGTTATGCTTCTAATGTTTAAATCAAAACATGGTTTGTCCCCTAATATATTTCACTCTTACTTCACTGAAATTACTCATAAATACCCCACAAAATTTTCAGTTGATATGTTTGTTATTCCAAGATCTTTTTTAAAACTCAGCTTATTTCAAATTCAATACCGTGGACCATTTATATGGAAAAGTTTTTTTGAAAAATATTATTAAAAATAAAACTCTTCTAAACTTCTCCCTAGAACAATTTAAAAAAGAATCTAAACGTTTTCTATTAGGAAAAAACTTCGATTTTAAAACTATAAAAAAATGTTTATTTATATATCTTATTATACGATTTACTACTTGTAATATATTGTGTTGTATTTTGTAATTATACAAAATACAACACAATATATAAGACATATATTGTCTTATCTAGACATATATTGTCTTATCAATATATAAGACATATATTGTCAAAATACAACACAATATATAAGACATATATTGTCTGCGATAAGACATATATTGTCTTATCGCCAAGCCCCGTTTACAACAATGTAAACGGGGCTTGGCGATAAGACAATATATGTCTTCTTCTTGCTCCGGCTATATATTATAAATGTATGATCTTTCTTATTGTAAATTTTATCAAACGGCAAAGAAAAAAAAAAAAAAAAAAAAAAAAGTTTAGGGAATCTTTGTTGCAGTAGTGAATCTCATTTCTCGCCACAATCTTACACTAAAAGCCTGGATTGAAGATAGAGCCTTTTGTCCATATAGAGTTGCATACACGAGTCCATCATCTCAAAATGAAATAATTAGTTTAATTGCAACTGAATTGAAGAGTCAGACCATTGATGAAATTAATAGCAACAATTTTTTTTCTGTGATGGCCGACAATACTCCCGATATGTCACACAAGAACATAATGAGTTGTAAGAACGGCCAGTAAAAACGGTGAGATTCAGGAAAGGCTTTTGAAATCAGTCGAATTTACTGATAAGACTAGAAAAGAAATAGCTGAGCTAATTTTATCTTTGTTTAATAAAGAAGGCATTGACTCATCAAAGGTGGCCTTTCAGTCGTATGACTACGCGTGTTCAATGTCTGGACAATTTAAGGGAGTACAAAAGTATGTAACAGAAAAGATTATGAAAGAAACACAGAAAAGATTATGAAAGAATTAACCTTACCACAGAAAAGATTATGAAAGAAACACATCTAGATTCTAATGAATTGCGATCCGCTTTAAACAATCTAAAAAACAACAAAAGTGCGGGCTTTGATAATATCAGTAGCTTTGTCGTAAAATCAGTATTTGATATCATTGAACCATCATTGCACCACATCTTCGATCTTTCGCTAAAATCAGGTATTGTCCCGGATAAACTAAAGATTGCTCGAGTCACCCCTATTTTTAAAT